CCAACGAATCCCCGTTGGTCCTTCTCTAATTACATTGATTTCTGTCTCGTCTCCGATTGGTTCGCGACTCGACTACCGTTATGCCGCCCATGCACTGAGTTAATTATGGTAGGTAATATTCATGCAAACATGAAACAATCGAGATTATCTTCGCAATACTGACGAACTTGGAATTCACTGTAATTCTCCCAACTGCTGCGAAACAACACTCTTTTTCTTTACTACTATTTTTAAATATAGTATTCCCTTCCCTTGCATCTGTCAAATTGTCAAACATTTATACCGAACGAAATAATACCCCACAAAACAAGTATTGGTAACAAATTAATAAAACTATAAGATCGTCCCATAAATTCATACCAAGTTTTGTACTGGAACTTCAAACGATCATTCAAACTATAGAATTTTATAAGCAACGGTAAATACCTCGTTTAACACTAGATTTACGGAAGCCGTTAATTTGACGGATGTCAGATTCTATATTTAAAATTGCAGAACGCGTTAAAAAATATTATTTTTTAACAACTTATGTTATTCTAATTAAACGAAAAATCGTATTTTAAGGTAATCGTCAACATGAAAGGTATCAATAAATTTAATACACGTGCGATCAATGTCCGTAAATCTAGTGTTAACGACTACCCCTTCTCTTTAAGCGAAGTCATTATAGCGTCGCAATAAAACTTCTTTGATTTAAACGGGCTATTTAGAAATTAATCAAGTAATTTGCGTTTACACCTAAACGTGCTTAGAATCTTTTACAAACTAAAGATATACTCATTATGCCTGTTACATTCTTCATATAAATAAATAAATACTAAAAGTACCAGATGCAATTCGGGAACTAATCGTTTGATTAAGAATTGAAGGTCAGTCACTGAGAAAGACAGCTAAAAGAGTTGGCAAATCAAGGAAACAATTATCCAATATATTATAAATAGGCACAAGGAATTGAAAACTATCGAAACTAGATCCTGTTGAGGTTCAAGACCTGAATTCACGGCGTTAATCCATTTTCCATATGCATTATACATAATGAAATAATGGTGATATTTCGAAATGGATTTTTTTCCAAATAATATTGAAAGTTATTTGTAAAAGAAGAACTTCCTATAAGAATAAGAAGAAAAATTAAAAAGAGAACTTATATTTTCAAATTCAAGCGTACGCCGCGTAAATTAGAACGAAGATTCCAATTTTATTTCTATAGACGCATGGACGAACAATAGTAAAAAGAAACTAAATGCTGGACAATAAGGATTCATAAATCCCCTCGGGGGTCGAACAATTTCGATTGACGTATGAGAAAAGAATTCCCGTGTAGATTGTTCAATGTGCGGTTGACCATGAATGCTCAAGATATTGGAAGATCAATATTTATGCCGTTCGTAAATTCGTGTCTGACCCAAAACCTTACAATTTGTTCATAGAACGACGATACACATTTTCTACAAGAACATCATTCGTAATTCTATTAATGATAGTTTAGAAGATATGAAAATATTTAAAGTATTATTGTCCGATAATTAAATAGTTCGAAACCTCGATTTATAACAGTGTTGGGAAAAAAATTAATCAACGACTGACGATTGAATTACTACTGTTAAATACAATTAACACTTACATTATTTTCAATTATTTATCGCAATTAACATTTAAATTTCTTTCAATTATTAGTTGGAATTAACGACTAAAGTAATAAATAAATAACTTTTTACAAAATGACACGTTAATTATGAGATTTTAACTTTGCTATACATTTTACGATTTTGAAAATGTTTTTCTAGGAGTATTCATACAATTTTCAGTTTAAATTGAATATTAACTTCAATGACAATATTCTAAATTTACTGTAACATTTTACTATAATTAGTAATTATATCATGCAACATTATTAATTTTCATTTCTCAAAAATGATAACCAATTTTTTAAGTTCCTTTCATTTTTCCTACTAACTATAAATGTATGTGGCTGTCCAAAATTAAGAATGGTAAATATTCTTTTTCGAAAATATATTTTTGAAAAAATTGAAATAATCAGTAAGTACATGTATTATTTGTTTAAAAAATATAAAGTATAGATTAGCGAGGCTTTCCCGATAAAAAAAAAATTTTAAATTGACATATAATTCGTTTGATGTATGTAATTGAAAAAAGTCTGAATTTCATCGATTCCTTAGTAATACTGTTATGGTGATGTCACGAAAAGTATAAACATTTTTATGTGTACATTCGTGTATTGTCGGTCTCGTTTGAAGCCGTCGGTAGCTCGAACTGATGCGCAATTAAAATTGAGTAAAATACTAATCTAGATATAAATTTCGAATAACTTATTAATAAATATCAGTTTATATATTACTCGATAAGTAAAAATAAAAATTTTAATTATATTTGAATGAAATATTCGAATAAATATCGCAAATAAACTGCTATACGTTGATTTTATTAATTATCTACTATTCGAATAAAATTTTGCCCATTTCTGTGAGAAAAAAAAAATTGTCCAGATGCATTGATAACATCCAGAAAAATCTTTTTATTATGTTGCTGTGACAATTTATCAAAAAGAACTTTGATATTAATTAATGACTAACTCTACAAATAGTATCATTTTTTAAGTTTGCGACTAATGATATAATATGTCGTAGAACCTTGTGTATCGTAGAGAAATATCGAAGTAATTATTTTTTGATTATTCCTATCGAAATCAGTCAACTATTTTACTAAAATACATGAAAAAAATGTAGGAATAATTACGTAAGTTGAAAACCGTGTAAAAGTTATCACTCCAAAGCGGTAATTACTATAAATTACTAATTAAAACAAACTTTATAGTCATAAATATAGATACACGATTGTTTTCAAAATAATCGTCAGAGTCCATTAAAACCTCAGGGTTTATAATAGTTTTCAATCAATTTAAAATTGAAGAAGTATCGTAAATAAATTATTTTTAAATTTAGGAGACCATAGAGTTTAATAGTTATTTAATTTAATAATGTGTGTTGATGTACATAATTTTTTAAACGCTACGTACATTTTGCTCGAACAATTCAACGAAACAAAAGAGTAAAGAAACGTCTTGTAAATAAAAATATTAAATAGTACAGGAATTATAGTCTACTCGGTAAAAATTCTGTTCTGGTGAGTTATGTCATCAGTAGTTTAATTTTGTACTATACATATAGGACGATTCCATAGTACCACCTTCATTGTTGGTCTTTTTCATTGGCAATATTTTAACTTTGTCAAAATAGTTGTAATCATTTCAATTTTTCCAAAAATATTTATATGTATTTTCATTGTCGTTAATCGTTACACGTTTCTGCATCTTTACTCCTCTTCGAAAAAGAATATTTATCATTTTTAATTTCTAACAGCTACCGTTATAGTTATTAATAGGAATAATTGAAAGAAACATGCGTTAAAAAAATTTCATTTTAAGGAATAACAATTCTTATTCCCTGAAATGAAATTAAAACACTGGGGGCAGCGTTTCGATACTCTGGAACAAATAAAAAAGTATAATTTCTATACTATTTAATATTTTGTTCGTAATATTCATAAATTGCCAGTTTTTGTAATAATACATACATGAAAAACGAAACATAAGTTTTGCATACGATCGGGGATTTCAATTATTTGTTTTAACCGAGTTCAGTTTTCAAATATCTTGATTAAATTATTTTTATTTTTAAAGGAGTACATATTGTTATTTAGACTGCCCTTCTTTGATTTTCCAGATACGTATATTTATATTGTAGTAGTGTACAGTATTCTTTCCATCCAAAAATATTAAAAACTGTGGTTGTTATAGCTGTTTGTTTAATGGCTATTCTAAATAAGATGGCTTCCGCGATTTCATTCGATCCGCTAATCTGATACAGAAATGAATAAAGTATTTTCATTCGAAAGTACTTATTATATAGTTTTTGATACCTATCAAGAACTAGGGAGAAGTCAAAATCTCGATAAATAATAAAATGGTGAAGCTTTAAATTCAGAATTTATATTTTCTATAAACTCTTTAACGACTAACTGGTTCGTCTTCCCGTATTTAAACATTTCTTTGAACCAGCACATTGAGTTTAAATGGAATTGCAACACCTGAGGTAAATCACCTGTCCATTTTTGTAGCTCGTTAAAATTTTTACAGTCCGTGAACGTGTTTTCGCAACAGTTGATGCGCGAAAAGCGTTTGGATCAATCACGACCGCTAATGCTCGTCGCGATTTCACGGTGCAATTACGAATAATAAGGTTCGATTAAAGAATTTCTGTTTCAGTGGCTGTAAACGTCTGCAGATGCCCTTTCACAGAGGGGCGTTACAACGATGACAACGGAATTATCTCAAACCGAAGGGATGGGGGTGGTATTCCCACTCATAGTGGGGAATATCCGTGGAGTAGGGAGTACGGCCACCGAACATCCCTCCTCTCGATTTTCATACTAACCACAAGGAGTCAGTGGACGTTGCAAGCAAACAGGCTCAGATACGCGTGTTACCTGATATCGAGTCATTTTATTCTCCACCTTTCTCTCAGTTATTGTTTCAAAGTGCTTCCACACAATTTTACACCGCCTGTGAATGGTACATGTAACGCACACATATGTACACGGTCGCCCGAGGCCTAGCGTGCGTGCATTTATTCTCCTTTAAAATTTATAAAATTCATAAATTTAACATTCATTTCGATCCCGAAACTCGAACGTGAACTTTCAAGATTGTTCGATTGTGTCTAGGATAAGCAATGTTCAAAGTGATAAAATGAACCACAATGAAAACGTTTTAATGCCGCCGGTATGTCCATGTTCACGGGATTTCCAATTTCCACGCGAGAGTCAAACATCGTTCGACGATGAATTTTGATGAACATTGAGCGAAACAGTTGGATAAACAGTTTTTAAATTTTCTATCATTCTGTAACCAGTTCTGTTTTCAAGTTTTTTTTTCTTTTTGTTATCCCCGAAGACACGGGACGCTACTCGTTGACGATTAAATGTCGACGAAAGCGGAGGGACCGTCATCCCCGCGACGGTTTTTCGCCCGAATTTATGGTCATCTTGAAACGAAAACAGTCGAGAGTAATAATAACGATGATCAGAAAAGGCCTAAAGCAAAATTCAGTCTCGATTTATCCCCGGATATCGTTTCTTGCGATAAAAATACCACGTCCGATGCAGACATCTCCAGTGATTCCCCGAGTAACGAAATTATACAAGTAAGTAGCTAGTCGTATCATTTATTTGACAATTCTACATTGTATAATTGTATTAGTATCCTTAGCTTTGCTATTAATTTCTATCAGAAACGCTTGTTTTTCTTCGATTATTCGCAAACGGCAACATCTATCATAATATTCGCTATTTTTATTAACTATTTAATTCTTGTAATATAGTATACGGAGCGAATCGCGTGACTTGATCCACACAATTTATTCTGTTACTAAATTTTTTGCTAACTGCTTTTTCTCTGAAGTTTTTAAGGTCACCGTTAGTTTTTTATACAGAAACATATATTCGTTTTAGACCTATCTTTTAACAAATTAGGACCAATTTGGCAAGCACCGTTACAAATACTATTTATTTCATCTAAATCTAAAAAAAAACATTCAGAAAAATATTTCTTAAGTTAAGGGAGTATTCTAGTCAAGAATTTCTTTTTGTTTTGGTCTATTTGGAGAATTTTTTTACAAAAAAAGGTTCTTAATTTCAACATTTTGTGTACACATTTATTTATAATTTACGAATGGTGACAATTTTTTTCAAGTGAAAATAATCAAAAGTGACTGAATTATACGGGGTATTCGGCCACCCTTGAGAACAATTTTAATGAGGGATTCTAGAGGCCAAAATAAGACGAAAATCAAGAATACCAATTTGTTGATGGAGGCTTCGTTAAAAAGTTATTGACAATTAAATTCAAAAATTTCAAATCGTTCTGGAAAAATTATTTTCGGTTGCGGGGGTCAATTACAATCATTTTTGGTGAATATACATATCCCCGAAATCCTACGCATTTTCGTGAAAAAAATTCAGTACGGGCGAAATTTTAAACGTTAATAACTTTTTAACAAAGCCACCATCAATAAATTGGTATTCGTGACTTTCGTCTTATTTTGGCCTCTAGAATCTCGCATTAAAATTTTTCCCAGGGGTGGCTGAACACCCTGTATATCATTGAACGAGAAAATTTCCTTTAAAAAAAAATGGCTGACACGATTCCGATCATCCTACTTATTTGAAATGGCAAAATCGAAAGGGTTAGTATGATTGTAATTATGGTGTGAACCAAATAGGAAAGAGAGTAGTGAAAAATTTACAAAACGGTGGAAACACTTTGAATTTTGAATATCAATTTTCTTGGCTCTTTCATGTTTAACGAGCTATAAAAAAACAATAAGGAAATTTTTTTTTATAATTTCGGTTTACACCATAATCGCAATCATACTAATCAGGAATCTTTTTGGTTTTCTCATTTCACATAAGCAGAATAGTCAAAAGTCAGTTTTCATTATTTTCACTTGAAAAATATGTATGCAAAATTTCGAAATTAAGAAACTTTTAAGAGATTTTTGTAAAAAAAATCCCTAAAAATACCAAAAAAATGAATCTCTGGACTAAAGTACCCTCTTAAGCGAAGTTCGAAATGATGTTCATTTACAAAATTTTGAATAAAAAATAACTATTTTATACTTGGCAAAAAACTTTATAATACGATTCACTAGTAATGGAATAAATTAATCTGATCACGTTAAGTGGTTCAACCCTGTAGATTTGCATACGAAAATAGAATTCGAATTATATTTAATTAATAGATGGATTAAAAAACATGAATTTATTAAATAATGAATAAGTAATAAAGTTTTATGCGTTCTATGTAACATGATTCGCATTAAATTTTCACATTAAGGGGGTGTTCTGCTGAATTATTTATTGCATTGCGAGCCTTTGAAAAAATTGATTTTTTGTTACATATTCTTGAAGAGTCTCTTCGTCTTTTCCATATTTTTTTAGTCCGCGAAAGTAACAAAAAAATATTACAAAATTGATAATTAAACGTCAAAGTGTCATCATTTTGTAATTATTGATCTTTTAAAAATGTTAATGTTAGCTATAGACAAACTCATCCTAATCTTCATTTTTCATTTCAAATGTGTACAATGGCTGAAACCATGAAAATCATAAGATGACGTCTTTTTGTTTTATTTTGTACATATTTTACAAATATCAATAAACATGTGAGATATTTTGATAACAAACACTTGAATATTTTCTTGCTTAAAAATGATCAAAAAGGACTTAAAAATACACTGTAATTTACAGTAAAATACCTCCTTAACATTTTAATTGCCACGTCACTCATACATGGGCGAAAGGATTTTCTACTATAGAAATAGAAAAATTAATTTTCGAGATGTTGAGAGAAATAAATTTGGAGAGGATTTGTGAATTTTAGCAAGGTTACAGAAATAAGTACCGAAACAAATTTTAGATTATATAGTTTATAATTGTCTGAAATCAAAATTTTACTCTTAAATAATATTATACAATTTTGATATAATAGTGAACGTGTTAAAGAGAATATTTTCCATATTGCTTTAAACGTACAACTAATGAAGAAAGTAAAAAAAAATCTACGTAAGGTTTAAACACAGCAATAATAATAAAGCAATCGAAAAAGAAACAATTAGCTGTGTAGAAGTACATCACAAATATAAAATAAAAATTTTACATTCTAAGTTTTATTTTTGAGAATATCTTTCGGATAAATATGCGATTAAAAATGCAGTGATGAGTTCGTTATTGGTGCTAGGTGTATTTGTTAACACTTTATGTAGTGCTGATATGAAATCAGAGTTATGTGTTATTCAAATTACTTTGTAAACTTTTTTATTCGCATAATCATTCGAATCGTTTTAATTACATTATTTTATACATTTGAAAATCGATTCTCCGTGTTTGTATGAATTCTTTGTCCCGATTAAATCCGGTATTATTATTGAAAGAGAACGAGTTCGTGTCAGAGATTCGGAGGCACATAAATTATAAACGCATTAAAACACGATTATTTATTAACGGATGGACGACTTCTTCAAAATTCCGTACGTTTATGAAAAATCGAGTCACAATCTAATTCTGAAATCATTTGAAGAAATTTTTTCGAATGGTTTGATACGAGGGCATCAATTTGAAATTACACAATATTATATTTGCATCAACATTTTACTATTTACTTTACTTTACTAGTGCCCGTATAACCCTCATTAGTACCCTGGCTCTTAAATCTGTAATGAAGAATATGATATTAAGAAGCTTTTGAAAGCAAACAGACGTTTCAATTTTTTGAACCGATTTTCTCGAAAACGAAGCTTTGCATGAAACTGTTTTATTGTATATTTCCGATTTATTTTTGCATGAGAAATGATCTTCTTTCAAACTATACCTCGATTCCCCTTAATGCTCATGCCCAAGTCTGACTGCTTTGAAAAACGATATTTGTTTAATTTAACGGTTTAAGGGATGACAATATTAGTTTTTCTTCAAATTATACGTTAGATACAACATTGTAATTAACAAAAACCGCATTTTTATATAGCTTACAAAAACAAGTCCAATACAGGAAACTGATCATTCTTGGTCACCCTGAAAAATATGAGCATTAAGGAGTTAAAGAGCTGAATCTACCCTTTAAAGAAAGTAGAAAAACGTCATACGAACGTCTGTCCTACATATACACCTTAGCTCTTGAGTTACGAATAATTATAGAAAATGTTTGCCTTGTGTATCGTAACTATAAAACCACTCTGAAATTGTCAATTTTTATCTGTTATTGTTAAAATAATGAAAAAGAAAATATGCCATATGCGAAATTGTATTAAGAAACGATATTTTGTCAAGGAAGGCTAAATTTTATTCTATGATTTCTGAACGATTTTTAAATCCGTAGAATAAACAAACGTTTAATGATTGTCTAACAGATAGGAATCGCTGTATTTAAAGTACCCTGTGCATGTACATGTCAGAAATGAAAAGTGTACAATTCGTCAGGATAATGTATTATCGCGTAGGTATCAGGCATGGAAGAGACATTCTCGGGGCGAATCGAAAAGCAGAACACCAACGAAACAAACATACTAATGAACGAAGGAAAAGAAGAAAGCACCGATTTCTCTACTATAAGGTTGCCATTCTTTCACGGACTTTTTCCTAGAGTACCCAGCCTCCCCTTGTCGCAGATCACATATCCGCCTACGCTACCGCCACACTTTCATAATTTGCCATACCATCCGATGCCAGAACATTATTTGCAAGGATTCTCTGCGTTCTGTAAGTACATACATTCTCTTATCCTTGACTGTATTAAAGATACAGTAGCAAGTAGGTAGTAGAAGAAACGCAGCATATTTGGAATACTGTGATGCTATTTTTTAATACCGAATTATCTGAAAAGCTACTAACGTTATTCAATTTGCAACACAGAAAATAACAGGGAATTACCTCTTAACCAATGACATTTGTGAACGGAGTAAATCATTCGATCTATTTATTTGCATATTAATGTTACTGTTTCGTGTATACGCCCTGAGCGCGCGGAAGGCGAGCGCCGTGATTGGTCAGTGTTTTTCGTTAATAATTCAAAAACGAAGCCCCATCCGACATTTTTGCAAAGGAAATTGTTGTTCAGAATCGTCTCAGCTACCCCCTATTTCCGGTTCTTACACTATTTACGGGACACCCTGTATATGTTTCGATCATGTCTAAAATTAGCAATGTGACATGAAATTTTATTCAGAATACCGAATTGGGAAGGATTCCTTTCCTAAAATGTGAATCAACAAATACAAAAGAGGAGGAGAGAGAACGTAGACTTTAATAGTATAAAATATTTTTGTATTTCATAGATTCTGCTTTAATTTTATACACTTATTTTCACGCATCTGAGTCACAAATATTCCCGAGAAAATAACTCATTTAAAAAAATCTAATGGTTTATTTATACATATAAGTTTTTACAAAACTAAGTTTCTTTTCTCTAATATCTGTATCGACGTAGGGTGCTTTCCTTGTAAGGTGCATTTCCTAATATTGTCCTTTGGGTAATAAACAGATTTACATTACCCACTACGTATTCTATACTATCATAAGTAGACTGCGGATGTTTATGCAAATGCATATGTTTCTAGGAAATAGATAAAAAAGTGAAACCTAAATATAAGTTTGTTTCGTCACCAGAGGTCCTTAAAAATATATTTTTTACAAAAGCACATGTCATATTGCATTTCTTTTAATAAAATTAATGCTTATACATATAAGGCTTCTGAATACCTATTTCAGTCTATTAATTCAACGTTTGTACACGATAGTCGTGGTAGAAAGGACAACACACCTATTTGTACATTTCGTATTTACCTATAGTGAATCATTAATGGTAACAGTTCGTAGATGCTACGAATAGCATTAATTAGTAATTGTAAATTATTCTTGGCAAATGTGTAGGTTCTATGGAAACGAATTTTATGAAGTCAGATTGTTAAAGAACCTAAAACAATTAAAGTATGCTACTTCAGCAAATTCAATGCCCGAATCACATGTTGTAATATTGAGCGTCCGGTTTCAGCTTATAAATTGACTTTAAACGATAAACGTCATCAATTAATTCTTGAAAAAATACTCGTAACATATTGTAATTTAAATTATAATTGATTATTATTATGTTTAAGTAATAAAATTATTTGAACGTATTTTGAATATATTTTTCATAGTCCTGTATATTTTGGCATATTATTGATACGTATTTGACATATGTCACTTACATTTATTGACATAAACAGATGTATTCCCAACATTTCGTAATATATTTTATTCTGTTTAGATCAGAAGTTATTATTATCGACAGACGAATTGAAATTCGTTTAATATCCGTTTTCTTATCTATTTTTCTCTATTTGAATTGGTTTGATAATAGCTTATGTTTGAGTATTTTGCTCTTCACCTAAAAATTTGACAGTGGCACGTGTTATTACAACAAGCATACGTATACGCGCGCGTTTGAGAGGATTTATCCCGCTTCGCCACCTCGTAGCGATATTGTGATGAGATTATGAAGCACAGTTGGCCGCATCTCAATATGGAATATACATCGCTATATTTCCTCAAACCCAACTCTGTTCGCCTGCCCCTTAAGCTGTTGTCACAACAAGGCAGACAAAGAATCATCGATTCGCTAAATAAAACATACAGTATAAATGCAGCACACGAATGTAACTGTTAAGATTTTCAGCTTTAATATATTTCCTTTTATAATGAACATTTTTGTTGAGCGAGTCTTCTACCATGAACCATTGAAAAAATCGATTTTTCCTTTTTTTAATTTTCTTAAAGAACATACTTTCGAAAACATATTTGCACAGGTTTGTGGGCTCGAATTCCTAAAAAATAATGAAGTTACAGCTGTTCGAAAGATCGACACAAAAATTTTCATTTTTTATATCATTTCGACTCCGAAATAGAAAGATAAACAAACTATAAAATATTGTCATTTTTTGTTCTAGTATCTGCAATAGCCAAATTCATTTCTAGTAAACAAATGGTTGCAATCATGGGCACTGTGGAACGACGTTTTTTAAAAGCGGCTATATTTGGTTTTAACTCAACAAATTTTAGAATATTATTCAAACAGGTGTAAATAAACCTTGTAAAACTGTAAAAAGTGTTATGGGACAGACGAAGTATATGATTTGAACGATTCAATACTTGTTAAAAAAAAGTTTTCTTATTCTCCAATTTACATCGATAACATTAAAATTACGGTTCGCCAACAAATATCAATCTCTAACAAGTTATTTGTTACTATTATTCGTGATATTACAAACTATATAATATCATTACTTTTGAAGATTCTTTTATATTCCAACTTATTGATAGTATTCCATATATGGTGTTTTTCCTCTACTATGAATTCGATGTATGAATTTGCACAGTAACGTGCAATAGAATGTTTTATTTTAAACAGTTTGTATGTTTATGTTGGATAGTAGCTCGCAGAAGGAGAAAAGAAGGACGACCACGAAGACAAAGAACAACTTTCAGTGGTGAACAGACATTAAGACTAGAAGTCGAGTATCGAAGAGGGGAATATATTTCTAGAGGACGAAGATTTGAACTCGCTACGTCTTTGTGTCTGACAGAAACACAAATCAAAATTTGGTTTCAAAATCGACGTGCCAAGGACAAAAGAATTGAAAAGGCACACCTTGATCAACACTATCGGTAACTATGTACTCTATGTATTGAGTATTTGATTAAACTTTACACTAGAAGTAACAATTTTGTGAAAATGTATAAATATGTTAAATGGTAAATATTTATCAGCTTAAACTTCTTACTCTGTAAAAATTGAAGAAAGAAATATTTAATTGAAGAATTATATATACATATAATAATAATAAGACCTCTCCCCAAATTAATCTACGAAAAAGATACATAGAATAAAATAGATATTATCAACAAAAATCTAATTACACAATACCCTATTTCGTTAAGGGGGTATTCTAGCGTGAAGTGCGTTTTTTAAACTTCCTTGGGGAATTTTATGCAAATAAACACATTTTGCAGCCTTTACAAGATTTATGTATACATGTTTTTGTGATATTTCAAAATTTGTTAGGCAAAAGAAAGTTAAAATTGGTGGCACTGCATACTCTCAAATACAGTCGCTTTTAAACAAGGTCGTTTCACGGTGTCCACAATTTTATAGAAATATACAAAACAAAAATCAATTAATCAATATAATACCAAGCTAAAAGGAAATAACAGACTTTTGAAAAACTGTATAATTAAAGAACAAATAACACAATACTAATACTGAATGGATGAGAATGGAAGAATACAGTCACTCTATACAGGATGTTCGGCCACCCCTAAGAAACATTTTAATGTGAGATTCTAGAGGTCAAAATAAGACGAAAATCAAGAATTAGTTAAAAAAAGTTATGATTTTTTAAATATATGCATGAAATTTCGGGGAAACATTTCTGGCCACACAGTACATTTTCGGTAAGGAATTTTTTTTCTCCTAAGTGGGTAGGATTTCAGGGGTATGTCTATTCACTAAAAACGATTGTAATTGACCCCCGCAATCAAAAATAGATTTTCCAGAACGATTTGAAATTATTTAATTCTGTTGAAAAATTTGTCCACCTACTCGAATTTTTTTTCTCGAACGTGTGTAGGATTTCGGGGATATGCCTATTCACCAAAAATGATTGTAATTGACTCTCACAACCAAAAATAATTTTCGGACAATCAAGCGGCTTTTATTAATTCTCGTGAAAAAACGAAAAGAAGCTTTTCCTAGCACGATGCAAAGAAACGTAATTTTTTGTCACACGATCGTATGTGTCTAATTGTATGGCAAAAGGTAGCACACCTACATTCGGTTTTAGTTTCCATACATAAGGAAAAGCCACGAATTATGACTCACTCCTATGTTATACGCGATGTTTCATAATAAATTGAATGATAGTATTATTATTTTACACTAAAGGAATTATAATTTCAGTACAAAATTTTGGTCAATGAATTTCGAATAAGACGATACAAGTACATTTGATTCTAATGCGAAATTAAAATGTGGCACGTGTTCTAGTTGCCCAATCACGCTAAAATTTGGCATAAAATTTCTTTATCAAGAGTCACAATCTATGAGGGTGCATCAGAAAAAGCTAAAACAAAAATGTTGACCCCTGTAGCTACGGACCACCCTAATGGTGGCTCAACTTCCATAAATGAAATAGCACTTATTCCATCTGGACGGCGAGAGACGAAACTCAGTACATACACTCCCAGCCAAAAAGATAGCACATGTATGCAATCTTTAATTTCTCACTGACCACACGTACAATTTTGGGTTTGTAACACATAATATAGTAAGCTTACGAGCTCAGAACATGCGGATCGCTGCAAAGATGTCGCGGCATCACGGCATTTTGTTTACAAAACAGAAACAGTGTTGTATATGAAGGACGAAATGATAGTACACTTATAAAGTAATAAACATTTATTTAATTTATTATCAATCTATATAATTATTCATTAATTGTTTAATAATGAGTACATCCTCCTTTATTTTCTATGATTTCAATCATTCTATTTGGTAACGATTTAAATAATTTTTGAATATTTTCTTGATTTAAATTGCTCCATTCCGCGACAATAGCTTCTTTTAGTTCGTGGACATTCTCGTATTGTTTCCCATGTTTGTAAACTGCTTGACTGAGTTGACTCCAATAATTTTCGATAATATTAATATCCGGTGAGCGCGCAGGTCATGATAAAACACGTATCTTTTCTTTTTCAAAATAGGTTTTTACAAGTTTTGCAGTATGTACCGCTGCATTATCCTGCTGATACAATGAATCCAGACCCAGATATACGTAGGGCATGCTTTGTTATTTGTTGCTTTATCAAATCCAAATAATATTTACTGTTCATTTTTCCATGAATAAATTTTATTTCCGTCTTACCGAAGTAACCGATGGCCGCCCACACCATTACTCCACCACCGCCCATTGCTCGCCGAATTTTTGACAATTTTTCTTTTCTTAGATCGTGGAAATAATAGTTTAAACCATCAGGTCCATCTAAATTAAATTTTTTTTCATCGGAAAATATCACTTTTCGCCACTTCTTCTTTCAGTGTATTCGATCTTTGGCAAATTGTAAACGTTCTTGTTTGTGCCGTGGAATTAATGCAGGTTTCTTTTTTATTTTTAGTCTTCTAATGTGCTTGCATGATTGTAATACACGACGAACACTTGAAACACTTGCATTGACGCCAGCCTTTTGCATGATTTGTTTTGTTGTACACTGGGTATTGGAAGCTATACGCAAAACAGTTCGTTTATCCCGTTGTGACAACGATGATGGTCTTCCACTACTCTTCTTTTTACCATAATTTTCCACGTTTTTAAGTAAATTATAAATTACCTTTCGACTTCTGCTAGTTATTTTCGAAATTTTAGATACTGATAAATTTTGCCTTTTCAGTTCAAGAATATGCTTTATTTCTGATGTCGTTAATTTTTTCCCCCGTCCCATTCTTGTAAATTACTAGGCAATACTTTCGCGTCTTGAATACCTAAGAGATCGCGAAATACTGAGCAGTTTATAAACATGTAGACGGAGTGTGCTATCATTTCGTTCCTAGAATACAACACTGTTTCTGTTTTGTAAACAAAACGCCGTGATACCGCGACCTCTTTGCAACGATCCGCATGTTCTGAGCTCGTAAGCTTACTATATTATGCGTTACAAACCCAAAATTGTACGTGTGTCAGGGAGAAATTAAAGATAGCACACATGTGGGAGTGTATTTGCATACGTATTTACTATACTGTTAACCAAAAAATCTTTTAGATACATGATATTTCGTAACAGTAATTAAGAAAAAATCATACAAAATGAGGCAGTCGAAACTGGTTAGCACTTCGATCTTTATAAATATTATTTTCTCTAGAACAGGAATGACCAATTGGGCATCTCGCGGGCTCGGGCTCCCGCCATTGACCCAAGACAAAGCTCCGGGCACTTCGTGCAAATGACATCGCAGCAAGAAATGACGGGTGGGAATTGACTGCAGTAGTAGGGATGCAACAGTCGTACGCTTAACACTGACGGCCGCTGTACGTATGTGTGATTCCGATCACTCTGATTTCCGGCCGCTATGACATCGTCCACTCAATTTATATCATCTTTATATTATCTCAAGTTACAAGTTATGCCTTACTTCGATGTACATAAACCCAGAGGCGGATTTAAACTTTTGCCACCCCAGGCTATCATGTTTTTGCCGTCCCACAATAACAAGAAAAAGTAAGGGAAGGTGAACCATAACAAAAACTTAAAATGCTAGATCTAAAAGTATTCGTTAAGAAAATTTATTATTTCTTATTTTTAATTTTTAAATATTTACTATTTATTATTTAAAATTTTTCCTAAAATGGTTGTTGCACTGGACTACAGTCTACTCAGCTTGTACCTAAATCCGCCTCTGCGTAAACCAGTCACTTTAGGGAAATGCATCAAGTCGAGATATAAAATACTGTGACGATAGTAGCGGCCGTCAAAGTGTTAAGACTTTAGAGTCGTGTGAATCATCGTATCTAGGATTAATTACTTTTCCTAATACAGGGTGTAACGCAGTGGTTCTTAACCTGTGACCCAAGGATCTCGAAGGGACTGTAGATATGTAGATATCTGAGGATATGTGAATTTAATAATTTTATTTAATCTATCTTAAGTCCCTTGTGAAACCGTGCAACTTTTATTTAGAAATATTTCTCTCTAAAGATAATAATATTAATTTAAAGCGAAGTTGCAATTTTAAGTGCTTCATTTTGTATGTAAGAAAAACTATAATTAAATTAGTACTTAAGAGATTTTATATGTTACAGGTACTTTGCAGTTTCTAATGGACTGGTAAACTTGCCAGTTTATGGCAGGGATAAGTTCTGTGAGTTCTGCTCCAGTAAAGAAGCATTTAGGTCCGCAGCCAATCATTTGTGTGTTTCAATAAATCCTGCTAATGGAACTTTTATAAAACAGCCGAACTATAATAGTAGTGGAAGTGAATAATCTGACAACGCATCAAATACAATGTCTCTGATCTAAAGTTTTTGTGAAAATAAATTCAAATTATATGATAAATTTTAGAAAAAGCTTATTGTGCCTTTTATATTTACTTATTAAATATACACACAGAAAAGAAAGTTACAACACTATTAGCACAGACGAGGTATACGAGTAGACCTTTACCCCATTACCATTTTCGTGTTATTTGCAACGTTACCAACAGATTTAGAAATACATAAACATAAGAGGAAGCGAGACAAAAAATGAAATTGCATAAATTTTAGTATTTTTTAACGAAATGAAAGTTGTACGGTCCAGAATTGAGCATCAATCGATTAATTTCATTGGAATAACCAATCGATTGAGATTATTTAAAGATTTCATAATTATTAAAATACGTAAGGATCTCATTGATAAGTACACCGCAAATCCTCTATTTTTTATTTTAAATTGTAATCTATTATTTATTTAAAAACTAACTCGGCAAAAACTTATTTGCGAGTCGAGCTCGGTGTTATCAGACTGCACACCGGGGCGAAGAACATATGTGAAACTATAAAAAAAACGCAGCCATTAGCTCATATTATTTACTATGGAATTGATATAATTATTAATTACATAGTAAATAATATGACCCAGGTCTCACCGCGTGGAGGTTGCTGCGAATGGAGACCCACCCTAGCCTCGCCCCAACCACCCTTCCTTTGGCGAGGAATTCGAATACCTATCCAAGGGAGAAGCTATCGAAAAGTTAGAAACAAACTACAAAGGTCGAGTTCTTAAAACAACTACCCAATGAAGAGGTGAAGAACCTAACAAAATGTCAGTACATGTGAGATGATACACATGTTTTCTAAAAACGAAATTGAAATGTGTAACTGCACGCACGAACTCTGACCGATGAAGAGATCAAAAACCTAACAAAATGTTGATACATGTGAGATAATCCAGCACATGTTTTCTAGAAACAAAATTGTAATGTGCAACCGCACGTACGAATCCTGATTATTAAAGTACCAATATGTACTTTATTATTAATTGTTCCTTCAGAAATGGATGCTTTAATTATGACAGTGCCTAGTAAGACACTGAAGATCCAACCAGAAATGTGCAACTGCACGTATGGACCTTGCATATTAAAATACTAATATGTACCTTAATATTAATCATTCCCACTTAAATGTACGCACACGTTTCAGTAGTATTTAATAAAACGCTGGAGAACGCTTATATCTACATATACATTTGTACTTATATTTTAACGCAATCTGTGGAAACGAAGAAATACGAGGAAATATTTTCTTCTTGATGTCTTCATCAATCCCACGATGTTTTTCTAAAACATACACTCATATACAACAAATATAGCCAATATAAAACGAAAATATGACAAGATATTTTCTTCTTGGTGTCTTCGACAATCCCACGATGTTGCCTTGAAACAAAAATTCATATCCAATAAATATAACTCATATAAAACAAAGAAATATGAAAAGATATTTTCTTCATGGTGTCTTGGTTAATCCCACGATGTTTCCCTGAAACATAAACTCAGACAATAAATAAAATTGTATGAAATATTTCTCTAAGAGCAATCAAGATGGAATCCGTGTACCATTTCCAATTCCATTCTTCAATGATTATATATTCTGTAACAAGAACTTGTTCAAAGGATTAATAGCTGAAATGAAAGTGTATTAGTGAACGCAGAAAAAAATAATTATATACCGTCAAGATAGACTAATGGTAATCGATCATAGTAAAAGTGATATTATAAAATTAATATTTGAACTAAAGCTTCCACGAGTGAAAGTTGATATTAAAAATTTTTAAAACATAAATATTACGTGAAATTGAATGAAAAGTTAAATTCGTCTCAAATTTTATTCATTTGTTACCGTAGATTTTATTTTTCGTTTCCTTTATGAAATAAAAAATTTTTCAAGACATATACATTGCAATAATTATATTTTACTGTATCGAAAACTAAATTAGGTTCGTACGAAAAACGCAATAACGAACGAAAATGTCGATTCTATGCGGAAATTAACTCTCGATATGAAATATCGAATTGCAATTTGCATACCCTTTTGATGCAAGCATTCTATTTTCCATCAATTAAAACAATGATCGCGAACAAACTTTGATTTATGCAAAGAATACAGAATATTTATAAAAAATTCACTATTTACAAATAACAATTGGGTTGCAAAGGTTATTATATCTCGTAAAAATTATCAACTCTAATAATGAATAATTAGTGATATACATATACAGGGTGTTCGGCCATAGTAGTTAGTGCCTGAAAGGATTAATTGTGGATACTTGTGGACACTGTGGACAATCGTGGGGCGTGTATAATCGCATGTGGGTGATTTTTGTTCACAACATTGTGTATTGGAACTGGCATTCACCCTTTCTCTGTGAAAATCTCGTCGGACGAGTTTTGATATGCCCTTCTGGATTTTCATAAGACAGGTTGAATCTTATTCAACGTAAGGTGTTCGCATTCCCATAAGTGGACAAAAATCTAAGGCTGTCGATAATGTCGGTAAGCAGAATTTTTCATGCTGCGTGAGAACCACTAGCACTCGCCTGCCGCAACCGTCCGCGCGAACCAGCTGTTTAGCGGATTGTCATTCTACAGGCGGAACTTTAAATGTTAATAACTTTGCAACGAAGCCTCCATCAACAAATTAGTATTCTTGATTTTCGTCTTATTTTGGCCTCTACTATCGCTCATTAAAATTTTTGCTAGAGGTGGCCGAACACCCTGTATATATTGGAATCATAAATTCAATCTACAATAAAATTAATCATAATATAGAATTTATAAATGCATCACAAATCTGCGATAAAAATACATTTACATAAATTACAGATTTTAACACATTATAAAGAATAAAACAATTGGTCTATTTTCAACAGTATTTTCAAGCAGTATTTCTTTTGAGAAATATTTAAAGAAAAGATATATTTCAGATAGTTGGAATAAACGTCCACTCGTCTTAAATTCAAACAACCCGTGAGTGGACCATTGTTTCTTTCGCAACGCTAATTTATAAAATAAAAAACTATACGCGAATGGTGCTTGTTATTCGTAAAATGAACCATACAGGGTTCCTTTGTTAATTAAATCGCGTGCACCTATATTCAATCATGCGCAACACTAATTTTTAGTTTTTTAGTTTTGGCCAGCTTTTGGGCATTGGATCGCAACTCTAATTAATAAAAAACGCGACAAGATCGCAACGCTAGTTTATAATAGAAAAATTCCAAACGCGATTTATAACAATAAAAGCAACCGCGAATGGTGATTATTCGCAACACTACCCTGAAAAGGAAATGCGAAAAATAGGAATTCGCAACTCTACAAGCAAACGCGATTATTGGATATTCGCAACTCTATCTTTAATGGAAATATATTTATGTTTCGCAACACTAATTCAAATCACGTTTTGCCCAAAAGTGCTGGATCAGGTGCTGGCGTCATCAGTTGTAGCTACAAACATACATGCACAAAGTAAACTAACTACATCAAGCTACTTCAAATAGAGTGGCACATATGGGGATGAAGTTAGACGTTTTAAATATCGCAACACTACGGGGCAACAACGCGATAAATCAACAATCGCAACGCTAATTTATATTAGAAAAAATTCCAAACGCGACTTGTAACAATAAAAGCAACCGCGAATGGTAATTATTCGCAACGCTACCCTGAAAAGCAAACGCGAAAAATAGTGATTCGCAACTCTACGAGCAATCGTGTTTATCAATAATTCGCAACGTTACTTTTAAAGCAAACTCCCGGTACCTAAGTTTGCATGAAAACAATCGCGAATGGTAATTATTCACAACACTACCCTGAAAAGGAAACGCGAAAAATAATAATTCGCAACTCTAAAAGCAAACGCGATTATTGGATATTCGCAACTCTATGTATATCATAACCGCGAGTTATGGGGAGGGATGGCTGGCATGTATGGTGCAATCATGTACCATCAGGTACATGCATACGTGAGCCAGCCAGAAAAATAAACTAACTACAACTACAGACGAGTTAAGTGACAAAGTAGTAACAGGAATGATTTTCCATCCTCATCCAAGGATGAAGATGAAAAGCCATTTGTTGTAGCCCACTCTTGAGACATTTAGTCAGGGCCTCTTCAACTCATGGAGTCTTTTCTTTCTTCGGCGGTCCTGCCGATGCCTGAAACTTACTTAAGACTGGACTCGAGATTTTGTGCAATACGTAGTCTTCCAACAATATACGAATTGTTGCAAGAGCATACGTGGTGAATCTCGAGCGGAACGAACGTTTCGAAAGGGACCTAATCACGACCGCGAGCGCGAGAGTGCGACTTTAAGAGTCGCGCGATCCGAGGAGTCTAAAATAAAGCCGAAACAAACAGAATACACCGTTTGAATCAGCAAGATTTCTACTCTCGAAATCGTAACTACAGGAACAGAACTGCCACGCGAAAACGCGCCTACCCGAATTACTAATGTGGACAGTCCTGCCCTGACCCTACCTACTTAGGTTTAAACACACACACCAGAGAATAAGTTACCTACCTACCTAACACTATATTTAAAAAAATGCAAAACTCAGTCTCTCAAACAAACACTCCACGGTTCTCATTCTCAATGTCCGGGCGCGACCTAAACTAGAGAGGACTCACCGGGGTTCCTCAGACACCCGGACATAACTGACTTCATTCACACACTAATTGTGGGCGTACAAGTTTCTGGGGTGGACTGACAAGGGCTAGTGATCTTTGCGTACTTATATTATATGTATACATAAATATTTGTATAGAACGTTTTAATATATGGAATATAGTCTTTAATAAAATATATTGTATGGATGTATCATTGAAGATTGAAAAGTATTAAGATTTAAATCCATTAAGATCAACAGTTTTCAAATAAATGGTAAATTGAAATTTGATATTATTATTACAATTGATAAAAATCTAATGTTATAATATTCTGTATGT